TGGTGCCTGCCCCGGAGTGGGACTGGTGTGGCCCTAAGGAGCATCTGCTTCAGGCAGAGGCATGATCCGGGCGCAGCCATGGCATGAAGTCAGCTCCAAAGGCTGTTTTCACTGGATGGCATTCCCTGTGCTTCTTGCAGCATTCCCTGGAGCTGGTTTCCCACTCAACAGGGGAACAGGGAGCTTTCATTCCAAAATAATCCATTTGAAGCTGAGCAGCTGCTGCTGTGGGGGATTGAGGGACCTCTCTGGCCCTTGAGCACCACGACACTCTGGGAATTTGGGGTTTTAGCCACAAAGGCTTTAGGAATCTCTCACAAACTTCCCTCCTGGAATCTGTCACTTGGGCAGTGAATTAGGCACAACTGTCCTGCAATGCAGCAGAGGCAAAGCCTGATGTTGTGCCAACTTTTGGGGAGCTTTGATTGTTAGAAACTTACATAATACCTGATAATTCCTCTTGATTAAACCACCGTGGTCACCTGTTGAGCAGCTCCCTTCATGCTCCCTTGAGCTCCAGGCTCTTCCTCCTCCCTACCCTGGTGCTGTCCTCCTGGAAGGAACCCCCCAAACCCCAGAGGCAGTGACCCCCTCTCCTTTTTAATTCCAGGCTCTTGTCAATGGCTCCTGTAGGGAAGAGGCTCCAGCTCCTTCCCTGTCCTCTTCTGCTCCCTGGCACGGTGTCTCCAGCTGGCTGTGTGCCGGTGGTGCTGGGGGAAGAGCTGACCTCTCCTTTCTTCTCCTGCAGCAGTGAGCATGGAAACAACTGATGCCATTTCAGACAAAGAACCAGAGTCTGAGGAGCCCCAGGAGAAAGCCAAAACCCAGGGGGCACCCAAAATAGAAGAGGAGGAGCAGGACCTAAAGGTATGGACACATGGAGGTGTGTGTCGGTGAGCTCCGTGTCACCAGCAGCATGGAGGGACATGCCGGCTCCTTCGGCTACCTCTGCCCAGGGGAGGCCACCAGCCACGGGGACACTTGAGCTTTGGGTGGTGGCTTTGTCCCAGCTGCCAGCGGGATGGCACTTGTATCCCTGGGGAAGCTCTAAACCTCAGATGCCAGGGTTAGATCCTGCTGTGAGGGCAGCCGTGCAGCACGGGGCTGTCATCCCTGAGCCTGGTATCCTGCCAGGAGCCAGCAGCAAAGGCTTGGAAAACCCATTACCTGGAATGAAAGGGGGTTGTGGGGGGTACAAAGCCTGAGCCCTGGGTCTTGTGACAGAGGGGACGTGTTTGTCTTGACTCTCTTTTCACCAATAACCATGTTACAGTCCGGTGGCACGTCCCGTTCCCAGGCTGAAGACTCCTCGTCCGTAATCTCTCTGTTTCTGGAGGCTGCTGGTACCTGTCGCTCTTCCCTTTCTCCCAGGGTCACTTGTGGAAGTTGTTGTTAGCTCCAAACTGGGGATTTCTGCAGCACCTGCTGCTGGTGTCACTTCCCAGCCTTGGTCTGCTCTATGTGGCTGTGGCTGAGCGATGCCCTGAGCTGTGGCAGTGACACAGGGAGCTGCAGGCTCGGGGTGATGGTCGCCCAGAGCTGTCACAGGGAGATGTTTGTTCTTTCAGTTCCCTGCTCACTCATTACCTGCGACAGTCAGTTTGGCTTCTAGTTGTCCTTCTGGTAGCAGACATTGGCACCAACCTGTGCTGGGTGGTTTATTGATGGGAAATCAAAAGCCAGCCTCCTCCCTGCTCTCAGTTCCTGCCACTGGCTTACTGGCAGAATCATAAATCATGGAATGGTTTGTGTTGGAAGGGACCTTAAAGCTCCTCCAGCTCCAACCCCTGCCCCGGGCAGGGACACCTTCCACTAGAGCAGGTTGCTCCAAGCCCCTGTGTCCAACCTGGCCTTGAACACTGCCAGGGATGGGGCAGCCACAGCTTCTCTGGGCACCCTGTGCCAGCGCCTCAGCACCCTCCCAGGGAAGAGCTTCTGCCTCAGAGCTCATCTCAATCTCCCCTCTGGCAGGTTCAAGCCATTGCCCTTGTCCTGTCCCTCCATCCCTTGTCCCAAGCCCCTCTCCAGGTTTCCTGGAGCCCCTTTAGGCACTGGAGCTGCATCTCTCCTATAGAATAAGTCAAGGAGAGTTGAGGTGTGATGTTCCTGCCTCACCACTGGCCCTCCCCCAGCACAGCAGCATCCACATGAGGCTTGATGATGCTTTTAACTGAATTTTAAGTAAAATAAGGTAAAAATGCCCCCAGCAGGGCCAGGGTTGGCCCTGGAGCCTTTCAAACCATCCCAGTGCTCTGGGATGGACAGTGTAGTGTGGCACTTCCCCATGCAGGATCCCTTTGGAGCCAGTGGAGGTATGCCATCTCCTCGGGTAGTCCATTGGCTTCATCACTTTGGGGTAATCTCTCTTCTGCCAGCTCTGGTTTGCAGGGATCCGCCAGGGCCTCCTCTGCCAACTCACCCCGGGCTCTGGGATCTTCCCTGGCTTCTCCATAGTTAACATGGGAATTAATTCATTTCCCTGCCTCAGGCATCTGCTAAAGCCTCCGCTGAAGAGCGAAGGGAAAACACAACATTTAGAGCGCTCCCATTGGGATGCCCCTTCCTGGTGTCCCCATTCCTGGCCTGTAGCCGCTTTTATGCCTCCCCTCAGCTGGGGGATGGATGTGGGGATCCCCCTGTCCCTGTGCAGGGCCCACACTGGGATTTCGCTCCCGCTGGATGCTGCGGTTGGGTGATGGTTGTCACTGTCAGCCTGAATCTTTAGCGTAGATCCTGCCTGTGCTCAGGAGTGAATCCTGAAATGATATCCCAGCCCATTTCCTTTGGGAAGCAGTTGGAGGATTAGATGTAGCACTTCCTGGTGTAACTCCAGAGCCAGCTGAGCCTGTCCCCCTCCTTTGGGATGAGATCCACATGGAGAAGCCGGGATTCCCTAGCACCTCCCTCAGCTACAGCAGAGCTCCCATCCTGCTCCCCACACCGAACCCACCCCAGGAGGGAGCGGGGCTTACAGGATGGGGTGACAGGGACCCACATTCCGGGTGGCACA